CTGAGCAAAGTATCACAAGAATGGAGGAAAAAGTATCCAATGTACACACCCCTATTATGAAACTAATTTATACCTTTTATATGAAAGCTATAACCTAGTAACAACCTAAGAATACAGGGAAGGGGGAGGGAGGGGGCATGGGTGGAGGGAAGGGGATTTGAGGGTTCACTTCTGTGGTTCATCTTACAAGGGTACAAGTGAATCTTTCTATGAGTAGAATATAAACGTTTTAACACAATAACTAAGAAAATTACGTGAAGGTTATGTTAACCAGTTTGATGGAAGTGTTTTGGATTGTTTGTGAAAACACCACACTGTACCCCAGAAGTGCATTAATGTACTCAAGTTACTATTCAATAAAAAAAAAAAAAAAAGAATTTAAAAGGTCAAAGAGAAAGAATAGAGAAATAAAAAGAACGAACAAAGTCTACAAGAAATGTGGGGTAATGTAAAGAGGCCTAACATAAGAATTACAGGCATCTCTGAGGGTGAAGAAGAAAATATATAACGGCTGGAAAACCTACTTGAGGGAATGCTTGAGGAAAATTTCCCAAGTCTTACTAGAAACTGGATATCCAGGTACTTGAAACGCAAAGGACTCCTGAGGGAACCACATGATATACAGTCATCAGACTGGTGAAAAGCACCAATCCTATATGCTTTCATAGGAAAATCCTATCAAATTTTCAAAGAACAGATAGTCTCAATGCTATAAACTGTCCCTGACTTTTCTGGGGAAATAAAATACACATATAAATACAGTATGGATGCTGTCTTAGGGCTGCCAATCCAAACCTCTTATATGATAAACTTTGTTCAATACCAACCAGTTTTCTACCTTGCAAGGCCCACCTCAAAAATCACCCAGCCCAGGTCCTAAAACCTCCTCCCAGACTTCCCACTTGTCAGACATTACTAAGACACAGTCAAGGTGTGTTTGCCCTTATTGTTATAAGATAATAAATTTAGCTTTGCTTAACCAGCAGGTTTTTCTTGCAGTCTTTGGTAAAGAGGACAGTGAAAAGAAAGAAACACAGATAAGGATTGGAGAGTATCTAAGAGAATAACAAAACAAATAAGAAGTGAGAGCAGGTTGAGGGGATAATGAGACAGTTTCACCATGCTGTGAGTAAACACGAGTAAATTCTGGAGAGTACTTTGGGGGTCATACCCATAAAGATGACTGCTTTAAGTCTGGGAAATAATAGAAGAAACTATACAGGAAAAAGTATAATGTTTCCTATACGGATCCTACAAATATGGGATAGGAATTATTTCACTAACCCACTTACCATTCAGAAGACTGAGAGACTAAAACTGAAAGCTACTTTAAAAATACTGCTTAGCAGGGCATGTCCTTCTCCTTAGGGAAATGCCAACATAGTAGGATAATAATGGAGTGAAAGCAGAATACAGAGACTAAACAGTTATTCAAATGGTAGAGTTTGAAGAAGTAGGTTTAAAAACATCAAAATCACTAAGGAGGGAAACTACTCTGCTTGTCTCCCTTATCCCACAGCAGGTAACAACTGATTAATTCACCATCTCAAGAGGTAATGTTTACAAAATCTCCTTTAGGTAATTCATTTATAATTGTCTTTATCCCATTAAAATAGTTAACAACTAGAAAATCAGATGTACATTTCTTCCAAAATTTATGACATACTTCTTAAAAAAAAATAATAACAGAGTGATAGAATCACCTTGTTCAGGGGAAAACACACACACACACACACACCATAAAAAACCATACAGGTTTTAAAAATCCATGTGCCCAGAAAATCAAATCCATTTAAAATTTGAATTTTGAGAATACAGTAGTGATTCCATTTAGAAACAATAAATCTTTATCTTTGTAACATTATACATTAGAACATAGCATATTTTCAAGGTAAACAAAGAAACACATTTTAATATTGTTCCTAGCTCCCCCCCCCACCAAACCCAGTAAGTACCTATTGGCATATTCTAGAAAGCAAAGCTTCTTCATGCAAGTGTCCACCAGAAACAAGCACCACCACCTATTCCTAAAATAGCTAGTGATGAAAGAGAAGGAAAGTGAGAAAGCTGGAGGTGACTAACACACTGGGCAGGGAGGGGCTCTACAACTACTGGCATGCAGTGGCCCTCAAGCAGGTGAACAGACGCTAGATTAGAACATTGAAAAGAACAGAACGCTCCCAGCAGAAATCGCAACTTCCTGGTTCATTTCAGCAAAAGTTCCCAGTGTGAAAGAATTCTACCACCAAAAGGACGAAGGGTTGTTAACAGAGGAAACTCAGGAACAAAACAGCATTAAGTTCTTCCACAAACAACAAATGTATGTATACTAGATAAACAGTACTTGTTCCATTACATAATTTCACATTTAACTACTATTCGTGTATGTAACAGGATGTATTTCATTATTTCTAATTCAAATACAGGGCACCTCCAAAATGGAGTTATTTTATTTGAAGAAATTTTAGTTGTAATTATGTATATTAACAGATAAACAGACTATTTCCAAATTCCATAATCTTAATGTTTGGCTCATGTTAATGACTATCAAGAAACTTGTCCTGCATTTCTGTGTTTTTCTTGTTTTTTTTTTTTTTTTCTTCATAGAACACCAACATTACCATTTAAAAAGTGCGTCTACCTCCAAGAACAGACAATGATAGTCTAATAGAAATTAGGAAAAATTTTAATTAACTATGTCTTTGACACTTCAAATAGGTTATAATAGTTAAAAAATAAAATATTTAGCCAGTCAAATAAAGATCATCCTAAAAATCTTCTCCCATAATACACACTAAAGAAGGGCATTAGAGAGTCAACTTATAGATATACATGGAAATAAAACATCATTTCCCTCTACTTTATCAGATAAATGTTTTACTTCATATTAGACATGGAGGACCTTTACTGTATATTTTTACATTTCCAAAATGAAATTCTTTCTTGAATATATCCATAAATCCACTCATGTTTGTTAAATTTATACAGAGGGTACCAAAAAGGCTTATACATTTTAAGAAAAAAACTGTATTGATATAGTAATACTCAATATATATCAATAACAAAAGATAAATACAAGTCGTGTTTGTAATCACAGAGGTCAAACGTGACTTAAGTATTACAATTTTAATAGAGTTTTCCCCTTTCTTAAAATGTGAATACTTTTCTTTTGGGTATCCTCTGTATACAGGGTAGACATACATGTACCCTATAAATCTCATTTTGGCTGAGATGATAAGGTTAAATTCTTATGTCCACCTTATAAGGTTAAACCTTATGTCCACCGTATAAATCTCATTTTGGCTGAGATGATAAGGTTAAATTCTAGTTATTCAAACACAATTCCAATGACATAATTTGTAATCAATACAAAATCATATTACTTATAGCCTTTTATCTGGCTGTGTTGGTTCAGGGAGACTCATGTTTTGCTCACTCAATTTTTTAAAATTCATGTTTAGTTTCTATTCTTGAAAAACGGTAGGGTATATTTAAGGGCAAATAAAAAAAGTAAAAGTATGTATAATTTTAGCTAAAAGCTACTGGATTTATTAAACATATGCCTATTTTATAGCCTAGAGAGTGGTCAGGAAACTACGGTCAACAAGTCAAATATAGGCCATTGCCTGTGTTCTGAAATTTTATTAGAAAATAGCCATGCTCATTTGTTCACTTACTGTCTGTGTCTGCTTTCACACTATAGTGATTGAGTTAAATAGCTACAAAAGAGAAAGTATAATCCATAAAGTCTAAAATATTTATTATCTGGCTCCTTATAGAAAAAAATGTAAGGACTGAGGGACCTTTAAGATACAGCATGGAATATTTCCACATTAGTGCTAAGTTAACCTTAACTTTGCCTAATTTATGATTTGATGCGTACTGTTAAAGTGCCCTTTGAGCCCTATTAAAGTAAGGTTTAGCTTTAGTTGCTGTGTTCACTGAGGTTTCCCATGTACAAACCTTTACATGGGAAGAAGCTGTGAAGGTTAGCTTTAGATTAGCAAAGACTATTCCCATCAATTTGCTTGCTATCTATTTTTCTTATATTGCTATAGAATTACCATTTCGGAGTCACTGTGAGAGGCCTGACCCAGGCTGGGTACAGGCCCTCGCTCAGAGTGAGAAGCTTGGTCAAGGGAGAGAAGGGGCTCAATAAGGTCATCGTAATCATCTTCCTCTGTATCCCCCTCCCCATCGGCAAAAGTACCTCTAGTCAAGAAATCGGAGCGCGTCCGCGCCATTCGAGCTTTCTTTTTATGGGCTGGTCTGGCAACCTGCTTGACCAAATGATAAAACAAATAACACAATAATGTTTTGTTTTGTTTTGGAGATGATGCCAATGAAAGACATCAGAGGGCTCATGAATTTCTTGAAACATCCCTCCACCCCACAATGCCCTTTCCACCAATAGAAGTGACAGAGATGACCAAAAAGGATCCGTACACATTACTCTGGACAAGGGATAAGAATGGAAGCTAAATTTACACTATTCTTCTCCACAGCCAAGGAAGACATCCTTCACTGCCATTAAGTCAACAGAATCACTTGCATAAAATGCCTTCTTAGCAACTTCTTTTTTGTAAATATAGTATGTGTTTTTAGGCACCATTCCCTGCCTGAAGTATGCTTTCCTAATTATAATAGGCTTCTGTTAAAAGCTTACAGTTTCTTTCTCTAAAAGGATTTGGAAGCAAATGGCTAGATGAAGTGCTCTACCTACAAGATTAATAATTTCCAAAATAGTGTGTATCTATTTCACATAGAAGATCGGTAAACAAGACGCAATACTTACCTCTCCTTGGCCAGGCCCAGCTAATTTCACAGGTTTCCGGGCTGGTTCATCTTGTTTATGGACCTGAGGATTTCCACTGTTTAAGGCTTCCTTGTTGACACTTTAAATAAAACAATGGGATTACAATTCCTAGCAGAGACCCATAGCAGCAGACTTAAAGTACAGCACGAATTATAGTCTAACAAGCCAAGTCAAAGAACTCCAGAAAATTCCATAAATATTTCCAGATCTTAGCCAATTCTCAAAACAAGTCATATTTTCCCACTTACCTAATAAATACTATTATCAAGAATCTGTACACATATGGACTTACTTAACAGAGCCCCCGCCCTGATAATCATTGGGTATATTCCACTATAATGCACATGGAACAGAAGTAGCAAAATTAGCTCAAGAAATGAAGTGGATTTTGTGATGAGAAAAGGAAAATAACAAACACCCAAATCTTTAGAATATCAGTCTTAGAAGGCACTTTTTCATCTAATCATTATAAAATACCTCATAGGTAGCTATCTAGTGATGAAGACATCATTATTTTATCAGTCTGAGATGGTTCCTAGAGGCTAGAAAATTCTTCTTCTGAAATCTCTCTAGCTTTTAATCATTGTCTTTAAAAATGAGGTTATACAGAATAAATTAAAACTGGCAGGATAGAATGAGGTTGTACAGAATAAAATTAATACTGGCAGGACAGAAACTGCTTTCAAGCTAAGATTTGCCTCTGACGATACAGATGTTATAGTGTTAGCTTGTAAAATTTAATTTTTCTTGAATAACTATATGATAAAATTGATTTATCCTTAAATTCTGGGCAGAAATGGATTATCAGGATCTAATGAAACTCTGAAAAGAACCTGCACATTCCTGGCTCCAATTACCTGTATTATTAACCCAGTACCATGTGTCTTAAAATTTATGAACAATATATTGCCAAGCTCCCCTTAGTAGGACTGTAAGGCTTCTTAAAAATCATACCTTACCTCCTAGTATCATGCTGGTTGAAAAGTAGACCCTAACTTATAATACTAGTTGGTGGATTAATTTCTTTCATTCAATTTTTATAAAAGAAAGTCTAGGTGCCATAAAAAGTTATCTTGTCCTTTGCCCCTAGGCAATAATCCCTAAATAAGATGGTAATCTTCCCTAGCTAAAGATTCTCAACAAGGCTAAGTATGGTTTGTAATCCCAGCACTTTGGGAGGCCACCATAGCAGGATCACTTGAGGTCAAGAGTTTGACACCAGCCTGGGCAATATAGACCCTGTCTCTACAAAAAATTAAAAAATTAGCCAGGCATTGTGGCATGAGCCTATTGTCCTAGCTATTCAGGAGGCTAAGGCAACAGGATCCCTTGACCATAGAAATTTAAGGGATTTAAATTTCTGCTGTGAGTTATTACGGTGCCATTCTGGCCAAGGCAACACAGTAAGATCCTGTCTATACCTGGGGGGATAAAAGGACTTCTCAGGGAGCTCCGTCTTGATCAATGTATGATAGCAATCCTAGCTTGTCCTGACAGATTCCTTTCTGGACATTAAAGTCTCTCTGACCATAGTTGAGTCTAGTGGCCTTTCATTTGTCCCCCAGAGAGAGACAAAAATTAATGGGACCTTTAATAACACTACACAATTCTAACTCTCCAACTAACTTTTCAATCCATGGTATTTCTTTAGATTTCTCCATCTTTTCTTTATTGTTCTCTTTCATTAAACAGATGAAGCCTACTATGTACTTATCATCACTACAGTATAGAAAAAACACTAACCTAGTTTTCCTTCCTAATCATAAAACCTGGTACTAATCCCTATGGTACTAATCCCTAATCATGAAACTCAAAGTTCTAGTCTCAGCTATCTATCTAAATATATTCATTACCTTGAATAAGTCATTTTACTTCTAAGGCCCCCAATGATTCTATATAATGCTAAAATTTCTAATATTACTTGAAGAAGAGGACAAAATTTAAAGTACAATTTTTTATCTGTAGACTTTCATTTAAACAACCTAACATAATAATTTTAAAGATATATAGATTATTAACACAGTAAATTATAGATCGAGTAGACCTAAGATGATACATTTTAGAAAAATGATAAAAGGAGCAATTCATAGGATGATTAATGGTTTTTGAAATCTATAACTAAATCTTCTACAAAACAGATTCACAGATCCTAGCTGCTTTGTGTATATACATATATATCTACCTATAATATACATATACACACACGCACACATCTCATACCACTAATTTCATCAGACAGATAGGAACTATCTTTTTAACATTCTTTTATGGGTTTATATGCTATACAGAGATCTTGAAATTCTAGGAAATCTCTGGGTTAATGGGCAAGAGTAAGACCCAAAGCTGTCACTATCACTCAACTGCATTTATACTTTAGAAACTCTCAGTGGAAAAAAAAACAATTAATGGTCTCTTGCCCGTATTTACAAAGAGTTTCTCTAAAATCTGCATGCAGTGATAAAGCCTGAAAGATGTAAATGCACAGGCTGTTGTCGGAAAGAAAAGGTTATTCTCCTTGAGGGTTACAATTTCTAGCCCAAAGATATAGCCCTCCTTTCATTCCAATAGTGGCATTCTCCCATAAAAATGGAAAAAATCCATTGTACACAAAGCCTTAATACAGGTATCTTAAATTTTATAAAATCGTTTTTATATACTGTTTAAAATTTTTTCTCATTTACAAAAGTATAAAAAACTTCCACTTATATGAGGTATCTGAAGTAGTCAAACTCCTAGAAACAAAAAAGAATGATGGTTGCTAGGGGCTGGGGAGAGAAAAAGGGAAATTGTTTAACTTGCACAGTTTCAGATCTACAAGATGACAAAGCTATAAAGATTTGTTGTACAACAATGTACACACAGTTAATATTACTCTACTGTATGTTTAAAAATGCTTAAGATGGCAAATTTATATTTTGTGTGTTTATCATGCACATAAGAAGTATAAAGGACATAATGAAGACTATACATAGGCAAACAATTACAACAAAGTACATTACCTTCTTTAAACCCTGACACTAACAAGCTTGGACTGCTAACTATCACAGCTCTAGGGCACTAAGCATTTGCTGAATGCCTACTATGTTTATAGGCACTGTGCCACCTTTCCCAAATGCTTTATCATTTAATGGGGAAGAATCAAATACTGTGCCATCTATGCTTTGTCAAAGATTCCTATGTTATTGTTACATCCAATTTTAGGCAACTAGTACAGTCAACATTTAAGGAATATTTTTACAAAAAGAAAATGGCTACTTTGAGCAGCTACACAAACACTTGGAGCAGAACTAGGCACACAAATAAACAGAGTAGAACAAGGTATCTTAATACTGCAAAATGTTTCCCATTTTACATAAAAACAAATGAGCATTTCACTTACAGGGGAATACTCATATTGTCCCTTGGCGTGAAGAAAATGGTCCTAGTATTTCCCTCTCTGGAAAGGTCATCAGTTTTGTGGCTATAAGACTGAGTTGGCCTATGGGATTCTCTTTTTGAAATGCGATTATTAGAGAGTTTACAGGCTACATTCAGCTTAGTGCCTGTTCTGTCTGTCTTGGACAACTCCCTTACAGTACTAGATTGGCATGGACTTCCTTTACTTTCAAAGAACAAAGTGACAGGTCGGTCCTTTGGGAGCAAGTGAGCAGAGGAACTGTCTTTTGGGGGAAGAGCTGCATCTTTTGTAGTTACTGATGGGGACCCCAGAAAACTATGTTCTCCCTTATTTGGAGTATTTAGGCTGAGGAGAGAGGATGGCCTCTCTACTCTTTGCTTTGACTGATAGAAAGATGATGCCGGGAAAGACTCTCCGATTCTTGGCTTATCAAATGTCTTGAAGGCTTTACGCTCCTTCTCTAAGATATCTGTTTGCTGACGAATCTGTTCCATCATCTCTTTTTCATTCTGTTGCTGCAACTGCTTTTGCCTTTCTTCCTTTTCGGTGTTTAGCTTTTCTAACTTCCTAAGCACAGCGTTAGAAGAATCTGTATTCAAAGAAGGAACTAGGTCTTCTCCTGAGAAAGAGTATTTTCTAGTTTCCCTGTTGATATCCAAAGTAAGAGCTGTCCCAGGGATGTTTTCATTTTCCAACAGTTTGTTTCTTTGGATACCTGTGTCTAGTTGGGAACTTGTTTTTTGTGGGTCTTGCTGGGGAATATAAAAAAATGTTGGCAGACTATTTGAAATGAACACGTCTCTTGGCTGTGGTTTACAGGTAATAGGCTCAGAACTACAGACCAACTTTCCCTTTACATTTCCATTCTTCAAATGCTCTGCATAACTAGTCTCCCTTGAAGCACTGAGGGTTTTGTCCTGTGATTCAAATTTCGGACTCCTAGATACCTTGGGTGATGGAAACTGCAAGTCTCCTTCATCTAAAATGATAGATTCTAGTTTGTTCTTTTGGCTTTCCTCATAGCTCAGAAGTTCCAAACTTCCTTGAGAGCTTTCACTATCAGGTGTGCCCTGTGGAGACTGAAGGCTTTCTGGCATCAATTCTGTAGACCATCTGCGTTCCTCTGAAGGGGATACACCACCAAGAGAACGGACTTTTAGTAATTCTAGGCTAAATATAGCTTGCTCTAGTTCTCTCATTCTCCGACTTTCTCTTTTAGCCCGGCCTACTTTTTTCTGATGAAGATCCTCCAAGGACTTGGGTCGCTCTCTTACAATCACACCTTCCTGCAAGTCCACACCACTGTGGCTTCTGGCTCTCTCCTGCTGCTTGGTTGGGGACTCTCTTGAGCAGTCCACTGAATTTTCACGGCTAATTCGATTACTCTCTATCACAGATTTACATTCCTCTATGGCTTTCACTCTGTTGTCAAAGGAACGATCCTCCCATTCTGAAGGGTCTGAACCCTGAATTTCCAGAGATCTGTATCCCTTGATATTAGCCAATCCAAGTTCTAGCTTTGTTTCTTTTAGCCTCTGTTCTTTTAAAGCTTTAAATCTATATAAAACAGACAAAACAGGTTACAGATATATCTTGATTATCACTGAAGAAGACATATTTATTGAGAATTTAAGAAAAAAATGAAAAGTTGCAAATTTTTTTAAAATGACACCTAAGTACTTCCAAAACTAACTTGGACACATATTTCATAATTTTCCTATTTCTGTCCGTCAATATTTCATTAAGGGTATTAGTCCTAACTGGCCATTCCAGAAAAATTTGAACTAACCCAAAAGTAAAGGGCTCATTTTAATAATATCCTCACTTTAAGGTAAACCTTAAATGTGAAATTTGTGTTTCTAAAGGTGAAACAGTTGATTGTAGCCAACTTTATAAGATTTGATCTAAAGTAAAAGTTAATTCTTGGCCGTTATAAGCAGAGACCATGTAGATTTTTCAATCCAGTTTGATTTATTAAACTCTTAATTTCTATTTATCAATAAGACAATGTAGGTTAGTTAAAATTGGTAGAAATATCAAAGTCTAGTAGAAAAGACAAATTGTATATAACCAATTCTAATACAAATCAGACAAGCATTAACATAGAGGTATAACAAAGTACTTGGGAAGCATGAAGAAAAAGCAATTATTACAGAAACAGAGATTACCTTTGTCTTGCTCTAAATCCCCTACACGTTGACTGCAAAAGGATAATTTTGTCTCTTTGTTCCTGGTACCTCTTACTTTCCCTGTAGGCTTTCCATCTTGCCTGTATGCACACCGCAGCCATGTGCCTGCGTCTACAGTGCTCTCTCCATCTCTGCTGGATGATGATGGCTGCAGCCCGCAGCTCCAAGTAACGATGCCTCTCCAAGTGAGCACGCCAAGAAGCCTGGAGAAGAACGGCTGCATGACCCATAGCAAAAGCATCCTTCTGCACAACTGCATCTCTCATTTGCTTCTGACTTAGGTAATTTCTCCAGAATCGCTGTGAGGAAGACAAAAGTAACAGAAATTTCCAGAAATGGGGAAAAATAATAAGTTTCTTACATCAAAATTAGAGATTAAGTGGCTAAGCAGCTAAATTATTACAGATTATTTTTTTTTCTTTACCAAATGTGCTTAACTACAATAGCTATTTTTAATAATATAACTTTCATCAAGTTATTATAGAACTTAAATTTTTGGGATGCCTTCACTCTTTGCAAATTAACTTTAACAAATTATATTATATTCTCCTGCTATTAACTGCCCAAATAAATTAGTGGGTTTGAGGTAAATATGTACACATTTCAAAGATGAAGATACCAAAGATACTCTTCTGTAAACAGAAAAGGTCTTATGGACAACAGCCAATGACATACAATCAGTGAGGGAGATGTTAAAACAGACACAAAATAAGGTGCCTACCATTCAAAATGAATATCCAACAACAATGTACACAAAACTCTCAAATATCATTCAAAAAACTATTAAATAACTCCTTTAACCTATTCACACTTCACAAGGTATTACAAGTTCCATTTAATTTAAGTTCAGAGTAATTGATACTTACTAATAGTCTACTACTATATGCCAGGTATTCTGTTGGGTGCTACGAGCAGTTTAAAAATGAGTAGGATACAATCTCATTATTGAAGTTTACATAATTATTTAAATGTTTCACAGTAAAGTAATTCTGGTTACTAAACAAAAGTTAAATAAACTAGTCAATCTTATGCAAAGAGTCCTTTTGCTTCTCACCTGGATGATAACAGATGCCTGTCTCATATGGAGGAAATGCTGCCGACACAGCAAGACCCGGAACCATCGTTGCAGCAATATGATTCTGCGGAGCACCTCTTGGTGAAGCAGATCTTGTAAGTGCTGTCGTTCTTGCTCCTTTAGGAAGACCTACCAGAAGGAAGAAAGATGAGGAATGCAGCTTAAGAAGAAAAGGAAAATTTATCTCATGAATCATCCTGTCTAAGATTTTAGAGAAGAACAAATACAAAAGTAGGCATGTAAAGGAAGCACTGATAAATATTTTTACTGATTTATCCAAAGGAGTTATTCTCAAATTGAAAAGGAGATATCTGAATACTGAAGGTAAACTAGGCATAGTAGTGAATACCTACAGTCCTAGCTACTCAGGAGAATGAGGCAGGAAGACCATTTAAGCCCAGGAGTTTAAAGGCTTGGGTAATACAGCAAGACCCTATCTATTCTCCTAAAAAAGAAAAGGAAGGAAGGAAAGGAAGAAAAGAGGAAGAAAGGAAGAAAGGGAGGGAGGGAGGAGAAAGAAAGGGGAAGATGAGGAAGAGTATAAAAATTCCAGTGCCAGAGACTGTGATACATTATTCCACTGGGAAAACCACTGCTTTAAATGAGTCAATGGACTATGCTAATATGTCATATTTTTTAAGGGTGTTGGGGTTGGAAAAAAAAAGTTAAAAACCACAGATCTTAAAGCTTGATCATATGGATAAACCAATGATAATGGTATTTTTCAAAAAGGCTTCTTACCATCTAATGTTATAAATCAGTTTATTTATTTACTTGTTCATTCAGCCAATAAATCTTAAAGGTTTAGGGGAAGACACAAAGATAAACTAAACATATCCCTGGCTCAGCGCCTATAGCTCAACCGGCTAAGGCGCCAGCCACGTACACCTAAGGTGGCGGGTTCGAATCC